ATCTTTTTTTTCCCGTCTGAGAGTCTGAATATACGGCGCCGTGATCTCATTTCCCAAGTAGCGCCGAGGCAATGGTCTGCATAGTCCAAGCAGGTCATGAGTGAGAGGCAGAGCTCACTGCAGCGTTGCTGTACGTGGTCGCCCACGGCGCGAATAAAAGCTTTGGTTCACATGAGCACACTGCAGTCTTGACCTCTCATGGTTGTCGCTGCACTGCGACGGATCCGGTGGCAGGCGCGGTACATAATAATATACAAGCTCCAATCATCCACCAGGCTGGTCCCATGGTGACGCCGCCGTGACGTCGAGTGGCGGAGCGTGCTCGTCATTTTGCTCTCGCGGACCCGGTTTCTGGCGCGGCTGCACTAGGCGGTGAGTTCTTCAATCACACCGACAGGAAATGCCTTGGAGATGAAATCATGAACTGCTGAAGATCCACATGGGAGACAGTCACGCTGACAGCTGATGATGTGGGAGCTGTAATAACCAGAATCGCCGTGCCACGTACATCCGGAGCAGGTAGATCACCATGTGACCACTGCAGCATTACGTTTGGACCGATACATCTACGGAGAAGAAAAGGATGAGGTCTTCCCGGATCTACGGGTTACGCAGAGGTACACATTCCATCCTAACAGAAATGCCTCGGAGATGAAATCATGAACTGCTGAAGATCCACATGGGAGACAGTCACGCTGACAGCTGATGATGTGGGAGCTGTAACCAGAATCGCCGTGCCACGTACATCCGGAGCAGGTAGATCATATGGTTGCCGGTGCTTGTTCTTACGACGAGAGAGAGATCATGGGTAATCAAACTTGAAACTCCAACACGCCGTGCAATGATGCATAACCCTGAGTTTATTTTTGTTCACAGTATAATTTGGCTGTTGGATTTATGATCGGCCAAATTACAATTGCATTTACCAAAACAATTTTATCCACGATTAATTGGCGTCACTGTGTGGAATGAAAGGAAGGATCAAGGATGCCAACTTGCCAAGCCGCCATTGCCACAGTCCACGTGCTTGAAAGGAGAAGAAAACTGCCAGAGAATAATGAAGCGAGGCCACGAGGCGAGGAAAGGAACAGTGAGATCTACAAATAGCAGCTCGGCTATCATGTGATGATCGACCAAAAGAGTACACTAGGACGCTGGTAATCTGAACAAACCCAGCTCCGGCGCGCGCGCTCGTCCGGCATTTCTGCCCGAACTCGACAGAAGCACACGCGGGCGGGGCGACCCTCTTCCTCCACCGACGACGACGACGACGACGACGACGACGACGACTCGCTCGGACAAACGTGCCCGCGCCAGATCGAGGGTGCGAACAATCTGGACCTCCATAATTGTTTGCGCACTTGCCCCCACATGAGCTCCGGCGCACTAGCAGCCACCAGCCAGCGAGTCATGCTCAATGGGCGTCTCCCTCGCGAGCACCGCGAGACCGAGTCGTCTCAGCGAGTGATCGCGCCGCGGGCGGGGCTGAGCGCGGGCGTCATGGCGCACATGGCGCGGCCGGGTGCAGGACAAGCCCGCTTTGCCGTTGCCAAGCTGCCCTCGCTTTTCCACCCTGCTTTCCCCCACGTCGTTTCGTTTCGTGCATTCGTGCCCACGCACGGAGCCCCGGCCCCGCCACGCGCGCGCGTCGCGTCTACCCGGTGAAATTGCTCCGCTGCTCAAAGTTCCTTCATTAGCACTAGTTCGCAGTCGCAAACCTGTCCTCCACGAAGCCGTCTCATGCGGCCTGATTGTTTGAATGTTTCCGGCGACTTTCCATGAACGGCATGGCATGGACGGCGAATCATGCTTTGGGCTGTATACGATCACCTCGACCTCGAATGCATGCGTAGTTTTGCTTGCAGCTGGGACTGGGAAATGTAGCTGGAGTGGAGAACAAGCAAGACGCTCGCGACGGGGCGTGATGCTCCGTGGCAGCTACGTTACTCGCCACGTCCGAACAACCCACAAAGCCGCCTACGCAGCGTGTGAATCATGGGAATGTGTGGGAGACTTTTTCTTGCGTCTAGCTGTGTCACATTATACATGATGTAGCTGTGACAAGCCAAAACTCTGTTGTTTAGACTTTGGACGACCCCAGTGATGTGTAGTCTCCGGTCTCCACTGAACCGCGTTTTCCTTGTTATTATTGTTAGTCTCGCCCATTGACAACGCTTGGCAAAACGACACTGTAACATTTTCGTTATTATTAAAAGATTTGTCTCGTGGATTTCGTCTAAACTACCGATTTTTATTTTTATTTATATTTAATACTATGAGTGCGTCTAAAATTCGATGTGATTTTAATCTTTGTTTAGCGTTTTGGAGGAACTAAACATGCCCTTAGTCTCGCCCATTGACAACGCTTACAATCTACTGTTGATTAATTTGGTGGAAAAAGCGGTTGATCTTGATCTTTAATTTCTTGTGAGTAAAAACAAGACGGATTATTCGCTTTAAAATCAAATAAGTAAAATCTTTATTCATCTCGATTTGTGCGTGAGAGAAAAAAATATTATTCAAATTGAAAAGATAGATTATAAGAGAAATGAAGCCTCACACTTTTTTTCACTGTCCTAACCTTTGCACTGTCCTAACCACTCTCGGACCCTTGCACGGCTGTCCTGCCCCATTGTTACGACTTACGAGCCGCTGCTCCACCGCTTCACCTAAAAGCCGCTCCCTTTCCCCCAACGCAACACGCATTCACGCTCGGTCGATCCCCATGCTATGTACGTTTTTTTTTTTTGACAAGTTCGCTATGTACTCTTGTTGTCCATGGGACACAATCACACAACGCGACTGGGGGCCAAGCAAAACAAGTAACCGAAGTTGGACCGATGCGTCCCCTTTTAAATTGGTCCATCTCGCTTTGCCAATTGCCTTTCCTAACCTACCATTGCCACAGCACACCAACTTTCCGTTGCAGTTGCATTTGCACAGACACGACACACATCACAGCCTTCGGCTACCTGCTCTCGTAATAAATCCCGGTCCATGCATGTTGCCACAGTGCTGTGCAACGGCGGCAAAGCTATCGTCGGCAACGGCAACCGGAGGCTGCTGTACTTGCCATGGCCGGGCCGGTGCACTGACTCATCTGTCGTTCATGTTTGTACTGAATCCACGCGTCACTTGCTTTGATTTGCCTTCACTAAGCACGCAATTTAAGTCGGCGGATGCAGGCTGTTATCACACGTCCTCCGGAGGACCACGCGTCCAAGTCGCTGTCGACTTGACGAGCCCGGCGGGCGGGCGAGCGCTTTCGGTGTCACGCGTCGTTGCACTGAGATTCTCCGTGATGGGCCCCGATGGCAGACTGAACCAGAACAGCAGGGCTGGGGTTTAGGGCTGGATTACGGTCAGCGTAAGTCACCGGGAACAGTAGCTGGGAGACCTTTGTCGATTACCCCCAGCGGCCAGCGTGGCTTGTCCGTTGTAAACACGCAAGTACTGCGGCAGTACAGTTTCGTCATCGGAGAAGACGTTGAATAGGTATTGAATTTTTCATCTGTGACGTTACCTAAAGGATGAATATATCTTATATTTTAGATGTTGTTGTTGGAGATACCCATATCCTTATTCTTATTCTTGTTACCCTGTCAAATAAAAAATCGCTCCTCTCGCAGTGCTGCAACAGTGACATTTGTCACACCGCACACTGGACGGCTCAGGTCTGCTTGAACACTCACGTATCTGTTTCTCAACATCAAGTAAAAAACAGTGTGTTCTTGCATACCAAAATTTTGTACTTATCAGAACGTATAGTAGAATCACTGTGTTGATTCCTCGCAAAAAAAAAAGAATCCATGTGTTAATGCCACTTGCGTCAGTCTCATTCATTCATCGGAAACAGTGCGGCCTCGTTTGGCAGGGTTTCTTCACCAGTTTTAGAAGTCGTTTGGAGCCGTTTTTTTACTAAATGGGGTAAAGTGAAATAGCTTCACTGGTAAAGCCCTTAAAAACATGCTCTCACAATGATTTGGGGCGGGATGGAGCCAAAAAAAAGTGGCTTCTCCTGGCTCCTCCTCTAGGGCCCTAAAAACATGCTCTCACAGAGAAGCCATTTTACCAAACGGTTTACCAAAACCACTTCAGCTCCATCAATAGAATTGTTGTGGAGCTGAAGAAAAAAAAAATAGCTTCACTGACGAAGTAAAACGCTGCCAAACGGGGTCTACGTGAAGAGACACGGGAAAAGAGTTTTGTTCAACGGCTCTAAACCAGGACAGAACACGAAAGATTTTGGAGCCGTTGAGACGAGCAGCAACTGGCATCAGTCTGATTCATCGCACTACGCAGCGTCGACGTTGATGAGCTAACCACCAATAGTCCAGCCTCCAGCCCCAGCCGAAACTGCCGTACGTTGGGGCCCGTCGCGCAGCGAGACAACGGTCGCCGCGAGCGGGCCACGCCTTCCAGCCTCCTGCCCCCGGCGGCCGCCGCTCCCCGGCTGCGCGCTTTCCATCGCCACTGGGACGGCTGAATCCCAATCCCACGCGCACCACCAACCAGGCAACACCCGCGCACACGGCCACATGCCTGCCTCCACGTCGCCCCACCACCACACCACCCCGCGCACGAGCCGAGCCTGCCGCGACGTTGCCCCACCATACCCGCCACTTTTCCCGGAGACTATATCAACGTCTAAAATACGAGACTCATTTAAGATCTGGATAAAAAGTTTAATACTCGTTCGACATCTTTTCCATCGATAGAATTCAAAAAAATATTTTCTACAAATAAATTTTTAGAGATAGATTCTAAAAAAAATCTAGACTGCTGCAACCCATTTTGGGTTTAGACGTCGATACGAGTCGTCTATCGGAGACAGTCTTACCGCCACGAACGGACTAGCGTGGGCCCCGTTTGGCAGCGTGACGAGGTCGCCGGCCATAAATCCCGAGCCTCGGCACTTTCCCTCCGCCCCACACACACACACTCGCCCACTCACCCCCGCGCCGTCGAACTTGCTCTGCCTCTCCGCGCCGCCGCAGAGCATGGCGCCCCCACGCCGCCTCCTCGTCGCCGTCCTCCTCGCCGTGGCGGTTCCGCTCCTCTTCCTTTTCCCGGCAGGTAAACAACACCGGAACGCGCAAAGATTGAGTTTTTTTATGACAACAATGCGGCAATGCAGGTGGCAGTTTGGTGACTGATTGGTGTCTGTGTGTGGTTTGTTCTGGTTGCAGAGGCGGGGACGGTGGGCGTGAACTACGGCCGCGTGGCGAACAACCTGCCGAACCCGGCGGCGGTGGTGCAGCTGCTGAAGCAGCAGGGCGTCGCGCAGGTGAAGCTGTACGACGCCGACCCCACCGTGCTGCGCGCGCTGGCCAACACCGGCATCAAGGTGGTGGTGGCGCTGCCCAACGAGCAGCTCGCCGCGGCGGCGTCGCGCGCGTCCTACGCGCTTCTGTGGGTGCGCCGCAACGTGGGCGCCTACTACCCGGCCACGCAGATCCACGGCATCGCCGTGGGCAACGAGGTGTTCGCGTCGGCCAAGAACGTCACGGCGCAGCTCGTCCCTGCCATGGCCAACGTGCACGCCGCGCTGGCTAGGCTCAACCTCGACAACGCCGTCAAGGTGTCGTCGCCCATCGCGCTCACCGCGCTCGCGTCGTCGTATCCGTCCTCGGCGGGCGCGTTCCGGGAGGACCTCGCGCAGGCCGTCATGAAGCCCATGCTCGACTTCCTGGCGCAGACCGGGTCGTACCTCATGGTGAACGCCTACCCGTTCTTCGCCTACTCCGGCAATGCCGGCGACATCTCCCTCGACTACGCGCTGTTCCGCCCCAACGCCGGCGTGCTCGACCCCGGGAACGGACTCAAGTACTACAGCCTCCTCGACGCGCAGCTCGACGCCGTGTTCGCCGCGGTCAGCAAGCTCGGGAACTACAATGGCGTGCGCGTGGTGGTCTCCGAGACAGGGTGGCCGTCCAAGGGCGACGCCAACGAGGCAGGCGCTTCGGCGGCCAACGCCGCAGCGTACAACGGGAACCTGGCGCGCCGCGTGCTCTCTGGGAACGCCGGCACCCCTCGCCGCCCCGACGCCGACATCGACGTGTACCTCTTCGCGCTCTTCAACGAGAACCAGAAGCCCGGGCCAACCTCCGAGCGCAATTACGGCGTCTTCTACCCGAACCAGCAGAAGGTGTACGACGTCGACTTCGTCCTCGGTGGCGGCGGCAGCCCTGCAGGCGGCGGCGGCAGCCAGGGCAACGGCGGCCTCGGTTGGCAGGAGAACGGCGGGCCCAGCAGCGGCAGCACCAGCGGCAATCCGCCGAGCGGGGTGAAGGTGACGACCGGGGAGGCGTGGTGCGTGGCGAACGCGATTGTCGGGGAGCAGCGGCTGCAGGCGGCGCTGGACTACGCGTGCGGCCCCGGCGGCGCGGACTGCAAGGCCATCCAGCCCGGCGCGGCGTGCTTCGAGCCCAACACCATGGTCGCGCACGCCTCCTACGCCTTCAACGACTACTACCAGCGCAAGGGCCGGTCTATCGGGACCTGCGACTTCGCCGGCGCCGCCTACGTCGTCAACCAGGCACCGAGTAAGCTGCTGCCGCCGCCACTCATCTTCTCCTCGTGCCATTTTCGACCCAGCTAAAAATCGCCCATTATATTGCTCGTGATTCCATTCGCTCCTGGTACCATTCGTTCGTGCAAACGTAGTCCATGAATTCGTTCGTTCAATCACGTAGCAAAATGTGAATGCTGTCACTGCTAGGCGCAATTGACACATGTAGCCCCGTTCACGTGCCTTTAAATCCGGCTCGATACGCTTAGGTTCCTCCAGATTCCTCCAGTCCCGCCGAACGGGGCCGTAAATGGTGACAAGCAGTACGCGACCACAAAGCCACACAGTTTCGGTTAAAGTGATGATAGCGGGAACGTAGGCCTGAAACGTCCCGTAGGACCCATGTTTTATCGCAGGGCCGCACGGTGATTTTTTTACTGATAGACGGGCAACAGTTCAAATCAAGTCATAGGTTTGCATTGCCATTGTACGGAAATGATTCTCCTTGTTTAGGGCTTTTTGGTTGTCGGAAAAAATTCCAGCTTCTTTAGGGCTTTTTGGTTGTCGGAAAAAATTCCAGTTTCTCCGTTTTTACTGTGAAACTGAACTCCCGTAAAATTCTTGTAAATTCCTGCTCCTGCCTTCCTAGCATGCCCTTACGAGTACAGTACTCCTTCGCCTAAAAAAACGAATACATACAGTACTCCTACTCCGTAGCACGCTGCGTCCCATTTGCACGTCTGCTGTCTGCAGCAGCCGTTACTGCTGCTCTGTGACCCAAATCTGTACTGTGATTTTAAGCAGTCAGTTATGGCCGTGTTCAAGCCTGCATTGGATCCGAGCTGTTGTCACTGGGATGGAGTTATTATTATGGACCTGATCACTTGTTCTGGTTCAGCCGTTCAGACCTTGTAGTAGCAGTAGTAGGAGCACAAGGGGCAATAATGACTGTAACGGGGCCTGTGCGGTTCGCAGATCGATGTGATATGACCCGTCCTCCTGTGTCTGCCGTCCTGGTTTCCTTCGTGGTGCCGCGTGCATGTCTGGACGTCGCAGACCGCGTTGTGCCTGATTGCCACTTCCAGGACCTTTTTGTCAGCTCCTACTGTACGATTGTACCCTACTGCATTTTCTTTATACTCCACTCATTACTGGACTGTACGTGCCTCACTGGACCAGTGGTCGTCTCGAGAGAAGTCCTCCCTCATGTGCGCTTTGACAGGAGTGCGATAATCCGCTGTTAGGGGTTCTTGGTCGCTACTCCTAAACTTTAGATTGAGTATTAAATATAGATTAATTATGAAACTAATTGTATAGTTTGCGACTAATTTATGATATGAATCTTTTAAGTCTAATTAGTCTAAGTTTCAAAAATGTGCTACAGTAATCATATGCTAATGATAGATTAATTAGGTTTGATAAATTCGTCTCATAAATTTGTTTTTTTATTAGAACACCCCACACCCTCGCGTAACGCCTTTTAAATTTTAGTCACCGGAACACCACCTTAGATAGGAGGATGTGCTGTTTCTAAGAGTTGATTTGTGATCTAACCTGCGATCTCACTGGGTGCTCGCTGCATTGTTTACAGAGATGGGCAAGTGCGACCTCCCATCGACGGTCTGAACTGAAGCAACAGTGGCGACGACTGTAACGCCAGCGGCCATCTCGAGGAACAACAAAGAATCGATGGCAGCAGCTCATCAGTCGAGGATGCCGGAATCTTTGCACCCTTTCTTTACGCTGCTGCCGTGCTGTGCAGCCTTGACTCCTGCTGCAGCGACGCAGCGTGCGTAGAACGAACATCATCGTAGCTGTACGCCTTCTTTTTGCAGCTTTGGCTAATGGTGGATATCTTTGTAACTAGCACTCCTACTATCGCTACTAGCATGCTAATGCTACTACTATAATCTGATCAGGTATAGATTAATTAATTAATGGTTTAGCCTTTGCGCCCATGTGATGTGACCCACTATGGTTTGTCTCAAGTCGAGTGAGCTGTTTGACTCTTGTTGCATGATCGCCTCAAATTTGCGTGCCGGAATTGGTGCTTAGCGTGGACGACAATGTACACTTGGGTATGAACTCCCTAAAATGTGTCCGTGTCTGGCCTTTTTAGCCCCTACTCCCTAAAATATGTTATTTTGCCTAATTGTCTATGGAGTTCGGCCAGCATTTTGACTAAAAAACCTTGGAATCGAGGATTTGTGCCGAATTGCTTTGGAAAGTTTCGGATCACAAAGCAACGCTGCTTTTTCGTTTTTTTTTAATACTCTGCTTTCAGATGTTCGTCCTGTTCGCTTTTTGGTTTTAGTCAGAACTTATCAGTCAATCAACAGTGTTTTTCTCTAATAATAATATAGCATCAGCCGAGCTTATTAGCCTAAAAATCAACCCGCAAACAAGCTGGTTGATTGTTGTCTGAAGCCTTATGTGATTGCTCTAGAAATGGGGATGTCGCTGGTCCCTGAAAAGCACCGCTTTCAGATGTTGCCGTGCAGCACCACTGCTCAACTGGTTTGGTGTTTGGGCTGTTACTGTACCCAAACACAAAATAGGTATTGGATGGTATTATTTCGATGCGAGGCGCATTTTGAGTTGCAGCAGACTCACATCCCAAATATAAGTATTTTCTCCTGAAGACTAATTTGCAGAAATGGTTCTCCTTGAGGTCATGTTGTTGGAGAAGATAAAAAAAGATATTAAACCTTTAACCTGCAGTGTTATCAAATATGAAATGAGTTTTGATATTTTGGGTGACGTTGTTGGAGATAGCACTTGGCACGCATGGTAGCGGGCAGACATGGGCACGGATCAAAAAAAAAAAGTTTCCCAAAGTCTACCTTTCGACAACTACGCTGCGTAGTGCGTACCAGTGCGTCGTGCCGTATTGCTCGCATGCTCGGCGGCCAGACGGCCAGGCCTTGGAACCACATGTGGATGGTACATGGGCCACCACGACCACGAGGCGCGGAACAGGAAGAGGCCGTCACCCCCGCGGTTGGTGGCCTGCGGCATGCGGGCTCCCGCCGTGCGCCGTGCGCGACATGTGAAGGAGGAAGCTGCCAATTGAGTCGCCAGGCGAGGCAGGCTGTGGACCACCGGAAGCCGAAGCCAAGAAGAGAATAATTGGCCAGTGCTTTCACCGATCGAGACGAGAGATCTGCCTACTGCCGTCATCAGCGGTGGTTTCCGTGCCCGGCCGGCCCCTGGGTGCGGTGGATTGGTCGCGCGAGTGCGCAACTGTACCGTACGCTCGGTTTCTTTTCTGGTGCACGCTTTTGACTGTGGACTTGGGAGGATGAGCCACGAACGGTGAGCAGTAGAGAAACGGACGTTCCGATTCGCTGGTGGGCCGTGTTGGGTCGGTTCTCCTCTTTTCGAGTGCAATTGCCGTGTTTGGTTCTCACAACATGCCAGTCGTGTGGGCTATTGGGCTTCGTTGCCGACAAGTAAGGCTGATTCTGAGCCTAAACGGCCTGTTTGACTGCTGCTTGGGAAATTTGCCTCGGCCAGGGATAGTTGCCACACGTCCGATAGAATTATGGGGCTAGAATTGTTTACTTGGACCATACATGCTTGACAGGCCACAATCAAAACAGGCCCTAAAGTACATTTACATCCTACTATTTGGTAGTGTTACTGGCAAAACGATCCCTTCAAATCAAAAAAAGAAAAGAAAAAAACTGGCAAGACTTGAGACTTCTGGGGAATTAGATTTGACTTATTTCCCATTTTCGAAATAAGTCAGGCTGGTTTTTCTAAATTTACCAAATTAGATACTGGACTTCACAATTGCATAGCTCTCTTTGAGACGATCGAACGCATATATGAAACACACAATTTCCAGCCTAGATTGTGTTATGCCCATTTGAAGATTCAAGCACGAGGAAACTGTCTAGGATGGCTTTGACTATGTAATACAAGTTAGGAGCTGTATTTTGGCACAAATGTATAGCAGTTTCAACTTCTGACGGGGCAATACCTCTTCACCCAGCAAATATAAAGGGCATAGCTGATTGAGGTTATCCAGTCAAATAAAATATACTATTATCCTTTTTTTTCCCAGCCACATGTTGTTAGTTCACCTTCTAATCTCGACGACCAGAGATGGTGCTCTATACTTGTTGGTCGAACTTAGGGTTAAAAACGATCGAAATAAAGTCCCATTTTGCCGCGATCCAATTTCTAGGTTTGTAGTCATTCCAATCATTTTTATTTTTATATTTTTGGCAAATTAGAAAATGGGGTGGAAACAATATGACTATTTTTTCAATGATTTTCACTTTTGCCCTTTTGGGCCACGACATCCATTTTTTTATGCACGACATGTTCCGATTTGATTGTCAATAGGGGGATGAATATCGATTTTTCATAAACCAAAAAGTTCAGTTTGGGGTTCCACATAACTCGCATATATGTATTACTAATAATTCTTGTTCCCTCACTTGATTTGGCAGTACACACCAGGTCCTGGTCACGTACACACTGCTCATACATTAATCAGACGCTACACACTTCACAATACACAATATATACGTACATATAGATCTGAGACAACCAAAATACATTACGCCGTTCCACGATCGATACACGCATAACCACCGGTGCTACTATATATATAAGCGCGTGGACATTGTTCGTTGAAGCCTTGGGCTTGAAGCTCAAGCATGCACGCCACGAAGGGACAAGCAAGGCAGAAGGCAGTAGTGTTTGTTCACGCGGTGGCGATGGCCGACTTCATGGCCTCGAACCGTGGCTCCTTGGCCTCGAACTTGTGGCGCACGTACAGGTTCATGTAGTCCTCGAACACGAACCTCGGGTACGTGGCCTGGGCGCGCTCCTCCTCGGAGCCGGCGGCGCCGACGAGCGCGGGTGCCGGGAAGATGACGGCGTCGGCGCCCGGGTTGTAGAAGGACGCGATGGACATGCGGTTGCCGTCGGGGCGCGTGAGCACGCGGTGCATCACGCTCTTGTACCGCCCGTTGGTGATCACCTCCAGCTGGTCGCCGATGTTGACGACGATGGCGTGGCGGATGGGCGGCACGTCCACCCACTCACCGCCCTTCAGCAGCTGCAGGCCGCTCACTTGGTCGTCCTGGAACAGCAGGATGATGCCGCCGGCGTCGGTGTGCGCGCGGAGGCCGTCGACGAGGTCCGGGCGCGGGCACGGCGGGTACGCGCTCACCTTGGTGCCGAACGTCGGGCCGTTGGACCCCGCGAAGGCCGACTTCAGGTAGCCCGGCTCCAGGCCCAGGTTCTCGCACAGCAGGTCCAGCAGCTTCTCCGACAGCTTCTGGATCTCCGATGCGAATTGCTTCATCACTTGCCTGCAGCGACACGGAAGGCTTTTTAAACACGGGCCGGGAGGAATATTCCACCAAGCAAATAAGCGCGTCGTCGATGTATCGATCGCACTGTCTGTCACCTTCTAAAAAGTGATTCGACTTGTGATAGTTACTGGACTAACACAGCATTCGATCTGCTGATGAACACCTGTCAAGCAACGAAATGATCTATCGGATAACTATTCGCGTCGCCGTCAGGCAGAATTAAGATACTGTAGATGGAGCACACGCTACCACCACCACCGTTGATAGGAGCAGGTCTGGTCACGTCAGGTCAGGTAGTATTTAGAGCCTTTTTTTCTGATCTGAGACGTGTACAAAGCGTTTGATTGGGCCTATAGCACGATAGGTGGCGTCGTCAGCTAGCTTTTGTAGGCCTGCATCAAAGCCATTAAGCTAGCTCAGCCTTGTAGACCAAAGTCACCCAAGCTGAGACTATTCAGATTAAAAAAACTGGTTGAGAGACAAGAGTCAAAAGCTGGTGACATGGCACTTTGAACTTTCATTCAGAAGCCAACAAAAACTTTAACAAAAGACTGATTGGGTCGTAGAGAGCCAACTACGTACTAATTAATACGATATTACATACGCACATCGTTAATTTAATGACGCGCTTCAGCAGCTAGCACGTATTACTAGTGTGTTTGAAGTTTGAAAACACACACACGCACCTGTAGTGGTCGTCGACGTCGGGGAGGTCGGCGAGGTTGGAGGCCGGGAGGTGGCGGACGAAGAAGGTGCTCTCCCAGTCCACGTCCTTCTTGTCGCCGGCCTCCAGCGTCCGCGCCGCGAACTCCTGGAACTTGGCCTCCCGGAAGCTGGCGTAGTGCGCCTTGGTTAGCCGCTCCACCTCGTCCATCAGCTCGTGCGAGATGCCATGGTTCAGCAGCTGCATA